ACTTGGGACCTTGTGAAAACAGATGAAACCTGTTACTGCTATGTATTTTATTTTATATGTCATCTTTAGAGAATTAAGCGTGGACCTCTTACTTTTACCTTGTTGCCAGAACAATTTTCCAGTTTCTTTTTAGTAGTGCTGCTGCATTCCTTTTTCAGTTGCACAGCCAGAAAGGACAGACAGCTTTCCACTGCAGGTATTAACCTTTCTTCATTAAAACCTGAGTGGGAATCTACACCTCTCTCCTGAGCTCCAACTATAGTGAACCACCCCTTTGATGGTGGCTTCTCTTACTTTCAGTGCTTTCTGAACTAATTACGTGTAGCCACGATCACATCTGTCTCTGATTTAAACCTGATGATCCCATTTAACCATATTTGGCAGCATTTGAGTGAAGTAGCTGTGAAAGGCAAATGTCTGGGAGCATCAGCCAGCCTTTGTAGTGGCGACAGAAGCCTAATCCCTCAATGGAAGTTTGAGATGGCTTTTAAAAATAGCCTATTTTAGGAGAGACTGAGTCTTCTTTACCGTTGCTGTTGTCAAACAAGTGCCAGAGGATTTCTTCTGTGTCACTTTACATCTTATTGTTTGTGTTTCATTAAATAGAACAAAACCTTAAAGAAAAGAAACGGGGGTCTGAATTTGATTTGAAAAAAGTGATAGATAATTTCCCTCTGGGATTATTAATATTTCTGATTTTGATTCTGATATTTAGATTATAATGTACGAATACAGAATTTGGAATATAAAAAGATATAATAAGCCCTTTGGTGGCTATTCATGAACTATGGTGTGTACCATTATAAAAAAAAAAAAAAAAATGTGATAATAAGCTTATTTGTCATGTAATTATATAGAGCCATTATCTGAGCAGATATTTAGTACTACAAGACACTTTTAACTAGTGACCAACAGCCTGATGAAGCAGAATCACACTGTTGTTTCAAGTTTTTATCATTGCATGTCGTCTGTAAACTATATCATAAGATATTGACTTTCAACCCACTCGCACTCAGTCCTTCCGCTTTGTGAGAGAAACCATACTTTTGCCTTTTTTTTTTTTAACAAAGTTTTTATTATTTTTTCAGAAATAATACAGTGTGGTACGGATGTACATATATATTTTTACATTTTTAAACATATAAAACAAGCTAACACAAACACAGGGTGATTACAAGAGTGTGAGAAAAAACCAAACAAAAAAAAACAACAACCTTATTGCATAATTAGTGGAACAACAGGTCTCCAACATTTGTTGAGTATGGGTGTTTGTAATCTCAGGGAATATGTTATATATTCCATCTGGTATATGTCCCAGACCTTCTGGATCCATATATTATAGCAGGGAGGCTCAGGTTGGAGCCATCTGATAGGGATGCATTTTAGAGCCGCTGTTGATAAGATGTTCAGAATATATTTTCCATCCCGTGTAGCGATATTTTTAGGTGTTACTCCCAATAGGGCAATGACTATGTTGGATGGGATATCTTGTTTGAATATGACTTTTAGGGCATCGAAAATGTCTTTCCAAAACTGATTTAATTTGGGGCATTGCCAAAATATGTGTGTGTGATTAGCATTGTCATTTCCACATTTTCTCCAACATAATCCTGAGTATGTCGGTCCCATTTTAGCCGATATAGCTGGTGTTCTAAAGAATCTAGTCACAACTTTCCATTTAAATTCTCGCCAGGTGTTTGAGTTTGTGACAAGGTGTGACTCCGTACATATTTCCTCCCAAGTCTCATCTGATATGTTCATCATGGTCTCTGCTTCCCATTTTTGTTTAATATTTAGTGAATTACAGGTACTTAGAGACAGAAATATATCATACAGTTTACCAATAATTTTTTTGTCTTCGTTGACCACTTGTTCGACTAAAAATTGTTCTATGGGGTTGGAATGTAATATTTTTTCCCAGTCTTTGTGAGACATTAGAAATGATCTCAGTTGCAAATATCTAAAAAAGTCTGTGTTGGGGAGACCAAACTCAACCTTTATTTCCTCAAATGTTTTAATGTTGCCATCTTTGATCAGTTGATATAGGTATGTTAAGCTATTTTCTGTCCATTTCTTAAAGCCATTATCCAATACGTTGCGGAGAAAGGTTTTCATTGATCCAATGTTTGTCAATGATGAGAGATTCTTGGGCAGTCTGTAGGATGACCGTATTTTATTCCAAATATTAAGTGTATGTTTAGTCCAACCGGTCATTTCTTTAATTTGGACATCTAAAAATGGTAATTCTTGTAGGGGTTCTACACAGTTGCTCTTTTCTATGTTTAACCATCTCGTCGTTTCATCGTTTTGGATCCATGATAACAGTGGTTTCATTTGTGCTGCCCAATAATACATTGTAAGGTTTGGGAGCTTAAGACCGCCGTCCATTTTAGACAATTTTAACATTTTTAACCTTATTCTGGGCCGCTTTTTTTGCCATATGAAGGCCGATATTAATTTGTCGATGTAGTCAAATGTTTGTTTTGGAATATTTATAGGTAAAATCTGGAATAGATAAAGAATCCGGGGTAGAATATTCATGCGCACACTTTCAACTGCCTAATAGAGAAAGAGGGATAGAGGACCATCGCTCAAAGTCATTGCCAATATTTTTAATTATTTTTGTGTAATTTGATTTATATAAATCACTTAAGGAGGATGGAATAAAAATGCCGAGATATTTAATGCCTTCTTTGGGCCATTTAAATCCACTTAGGAGTTTGACATTGTCATTAACAAGGTTGTTTACATCTATAACTTCAGTTTTGTCAACATTCACTTTATATCCTGAGTAATATCCATATTGCTGAATGAAATGAGGAATTGTTGAAGCAGGTTCGGTAAAATATAATAGGACATCATCAGCATATGATATTTTATGTTGTTCTGTATTTATTACAACACCTTTCATATTCTGATCATCCCTAATAAGTTGGGCTAGCGGCTCTATGCTAACAGCGAAAAGTAAGGGCGATAGTGAGCAGCCCTGTCTGCATCCACATTCCAGGTCAAATCGGTCCGATCTATGTCCATTAACCCGTACAGCTGCTTGTGGTGATGAATAGAGTGTTTTTATCCACTTGATAAAATTTGGGCCGAATTTGAATCGCTTTAATGTTTGAAATAGGTATTGCCAAGATACTCTATCGAATGCTTTTTGTGCATCCAAAGCTATGATTACAGATTCTAGTTTTTCATTGTTCAGATGGGATATTACATTTAAAAGATGCCGCCGATTATTGCCGTAGTACCTTCCTGTAATGAACCCAGTTTGGTCAGGGTGTATGATATGGGTTATTACTTTATTGACACGCCTTGCTAATACCGCTGTTAGTATACGCAGATCACCATTTAACAAAGATATAGGCCTATAGGATTGGCAATCTGTGGGATCCTTGCCTTCTTTATGAATAACAATTATTGTGGCTTCTGACCATGATGGTGCCAATTTTAGTGACTCCAAATCGAATGTATAAGCTTTTAGTAATAAAGGTGCAAGTGAGTCTTTAAACACTTTATAGAACTCATTAACATAGCCATCTGGCCCTGGACTTTTGTTGCCCTTAAGGGAAGAGATGACTTGTTTAATTTCGGTCTCCTCGAGAGGTTTGTCAAGTTCTTCAGCTAACTGGTCTGTCAGTTCTGTGATCTTTATATGTTCTAAATATTCTGCAAGTTCCTGCTCATTTGTGCATGTGTCCGTATTTTTATACAGTAATTTGTAAAACTCTGAAAATGCTTTAGATATGTCATTTGGTTTAGTAACATAAGTTGATTGGACCTTAATGTTTTGTACAATATTTGATGCTTGTTGTTTCCGTAGTCTAAACGCTAATAATTTACTGGCCCTATTTCCATCCTCATAGTATCTTTGATTCGTGAATCTTAGATTACCTTCAATTTTAACAGATAATAGGCTATTTAGTTGTCTTCGAGTCGCGTTTAACTCTTTCACACTGGTAGCTTTTTTAGATTGTTTATGTTCATATTCCATTTTTTTTATTTTACATTCTAGTTCCTTTTGCTTGGCTTCTCTCTCCCGCTTTCTTGCTGCTGCGTATGAAATAATTCTGCCTCGCAAGTATGCTTTAGCGCAGTCCCATAAAATTAGAGGATTTGTTTCTGGTTTAGAGTTGTTGTTCAGATATTCCTTTAATTCATTGGTAATGAAGGACACAAATTCTTTATCATTCAACAGGGATGTATTTAGCCTCCACTGTTTGGTTGTTGGTCTAAGTCCTATGTCCCATTGTAACAGGACAGGCGCATGGTCGGATAAGGTAATCGGCATAATCTCAATATCTGTCACTTTGTCCAAATTTGCCCTTAGGAGTAAAGAAATAATCTATCCTAGAGTAAGATAGATGTCTATTAGAATAGAAAGTGAAATCTCTAGCTCTTGGGTGTTTACTTCTCCATACATCGACCAGACCAGCCTCTAAAGCAAGGTGTTTAAGGGCTTTACTCATTTTAGGCATTGGTGTTCTTGATGGTGGTTGTCTATCGGCAAACTGATACTTTTGCCTTTTTAAGGAGTTTTTTAGTATATCCACAGGTTGCACAGGTTATGACACCAAAGGACATCATAAATTAGACAGTACAACCTAGAAGGATATGTAAAAGGACATCATTTAAAGTCTTCTTAAAACCTTTATCTGGGGCTTTTAGAAGAATTTGTTGTAGCAATATTTTTCAAGTCCTAATATCCCTTATTTTTTAAAAAGAAATATTTCTCATTGTTTAGTTCCAGTAGGCTGTTTTCAATTAAAGATCCATTCAATTCACATGAAAACTAACCAACTAATATCCGGCAAATTTCAATTGCAAAATCACCAGCTAGCCATCTGTTTAGCATTTGATAACTTTCCTGATTAAATCTCTAAAGCAATTGGTTAACAACTTCTTTATATCTCAGGAACTTTTTTAAGTGGAAATCAGTTTGAAATAAATGGCTTAATTTTATGCTCTTTGGATGCAGCTCATTTCCTGTCTTAATTCAGCATTTGAATGCCTTTGTATGTCTCTGTGTGTCTGGGCAGGAGGCTGATGGCGATGACAGGCTGGGCCTGCCAGGTGATGCTGAGGGAGAATGTGACGGCGATTCCAAAGCAGACACTCCAGATGTTCCTCTCTGCACAGCAGACATAGACAACACTCCAGAATGCCTGAACAAAGCTCTGGAGGGGCTTCCACCCAGGTAAACTATCCTAACAGATGTATGAGCTAACAAACTTGCAGCTCTACCCTGTGTATCATCAAACATTACAAATTGAATAAATGTGAGAACTTAAAGAAATCAAATACTCTCCATTTGATCCGTACAAATGGACTGAACCGTGGTAGTTTTAAAGAAAAAGTTTTCGTTTATGTCCTCTGCTGAGCAGAAAGTGTTGTTTTTACCAGCAAAGACAACAAGCATGAAGAAATGCCAAATCTAATCCCTAACACTGTGGAAAAGGTGTATGTCAAATGACCTCCTGATTTTACAAACCCTGCGTCAGAGGCTCGGGTTCTTGTTAAAAACCATCATATTGATGTTGCAGTCAGTTATCCTTCCACCATGGAATGCCCCCCACAGAGTGATTGATTATCTTTACATTATTCATGTAGGTCAATTGGTCCTCAAATAAATTGCAATTGGTAGACATGTGTGCATGTGATACTTCAGACACCAGTGTGCTAATTTTTCTCCTGAAGGATGATTAAGACAGAGGCACATTTTTGTTTTGTAGGAAGTTCATGACTGAAAAAGCTTCCACAAATTTAAAACCTATATACCAGGCATGCCTTTTTTTTTTTTACATAGGATGGAGAAGTGGAGGGTGTAACTAATGAGTGACAGCCAGGTCACAGGGCTTAAAGGCTCATGAAGAGGCACTAATCCCTGCTGGCTTGCCATTGGAGCCACTGTACTGCAGAGACGTTTTTAGATGTTCAGACTGTAGTGGGAATGAGAGAAGCAAAGAAAATGAAATGCAAAATGACACAGCAGAGATGGATGGAGAGTGGAGGAGGAGGGGCATTTTAACGAAAGGGAGTGGTCAATTTGTATGGAGAAACAGTATAGTGGAAACAGCAGCAGCTTTTTTCATGATGCAGCTGTTTTTTTCTCTGTTCAGACAGCTGCCAGCAGGCTGTACACCCAGCTTGGCTCCTGTGCAGCTTTTAGCCATTTCCCCCCTTTTGTATTTCTCTCAGGCAGTGCAAGCAGTGCACGCCACACCTAAAAACACTGCACAATGGGTTATGAAAAACACTCCAGGGGACAAAGCTCCTTTACACAGTAGTAACTGTCCTAAAATACCACGCAGGTTGTTGTTAACTGAAGATTAAAAGCACAAGATAACCATGTTGCAGGTTTCATCTCTGCTGTTACCTTATTTGTTCACTGCTTTGCTTCTCATTTGACTTAACAATTTCTTTGGCACTGCCAGTCTTCCTCTTAAGGTGCCAAATATGTACAGATCTGAAGTGAAATATTTGAGGAATGAGGATGTTTTTTTTTTTATCTGGTTAAATAATGTCTTTAAAAATTGGGATTCATCTACAGTCTGCCGCTTTAGTGCCCTCCATGGTGTCCTCCGCTATCTGTCCTCAGACCGGGTCATATAATGTAAGGCTTGGTTCTCTGAGGTTGTCCACCACTCAAAAGAATAACTCATGACTTTCACAAGCAGCTTGGAATGGAGGAGAAAAGCTGGGAATTTTTCCTTTTTCAGAAAATGCTTCAGAAAAAAATTGTGTTAGAGCTAAAATACATCCAATCTGTTTCTATTTGCAGCAGTGGTACAGTGTGGATTGGATTATTCTAGAAGCCTTTCAAGGTGGTTAGTCAGAGAAGCGGCATTGTCTGATCGCTCAACCCTATAATATCATGTATTTGGGGTGATGGAAAATCTGACTATGGCATGTTGAGTTTGATAATCTTAACATTGAACGCCTTATTATGTACTGCAAGGGATGTCTTGGCATCTTTTCCACACTCAATAAAGGGTATGTCCTGGGCTCCAGTAAAGTCAGATGGCTGCAGGTTAAAAAAACAAAAAAAAACAAAGGTCCTTTGAGGTGAAGTAAAAACCAGAGTAAAGCTATAAACCTTACACGTATCTGACTAGAGTTCTCACATTGTGATTATATATAGGCTTGATTTATTCATCAGATTATTGGATATGGCACTGTTAGCACTGTCGCCTCACACCAAGAAGGTTCTGGGTTCGCGTCCCGGGGGACCGAGGACCTTTCTATGTGGAGTTTGGGTTCTCTTCGGCTTCCTCCCCCAGTCCAAAAACGTTAGGTTGATTGGACATTCTAAATTGCCCTTAGGAGTGAATGTGCGTGTGTGTGGTTGTTTGTCCTTGTATGTCTTGTTTGTTGCCCTGCGATGGACTGGCAGACTTTCCAGGGAGTACCCCGCCTCTTGCCAATTGACCACTGGGATAGGCTCCAGTTCTCCCCGCGACCCCATTAGGGACTAAGCGGTAACGATAATGGATGAATGGATTATTGGATATATGGTTGGATCATCCAAAACGCAGCTCATGTAATAAACATTGATCAGATTGATGTCTCAGTTAATTTCAAGGGTCTCTTTGAAATATTGTAATCTACATCAACCATATTTTGTCTTTTTCTGTCGTGTGAAAAGCTCAGTTTCTCCACATTTCAAGGGAAGCAACTAGTAAATACCCTTACTGACTGAGACACAAACCGCATTGACATCAGTGATCAGTGATCAGTGATGGAATATTTCTAATGTAATGTTTCCTCCTTCACAGATGGAAAAATTACTGGATACGAGGAGTTTTGTCTTTAGCCATGATTTCAGGCTTTTTCCTCATCATCTACATGGGACCTGTAGCTCTCATATTGGTGGTATGTGACTAATCGCAAAACCTTTGTTAAAGTTAAATCTGTTTTAACAGTTTTTATATGACTGTTCCTCTTCTCACATTTTTGCTCATTTCCCATCATCTGATGCAGGTAATGACGGTGCAAATCAAGTGTTTCCACGAAATCATCACCATTGGCTACAGAGTTTACCATTCCTATGAGCTGCCGTGGTTCAGGACACTAAGTTGGTATGTAAAATTGATTTCACAGCGGACAGATTTATTATGAATTTGGTTTTCTTTTTAAAGTTATCACCATTTGGTGCTCATAGATAAGCTCACAGCATTCAAACAGCCGGACAAGTTTACAATTATTGTCAAATGTATATATGTAAATATATTCAGATGAACAGTACACAAAACTTTTCTCAACACAAGTTACAATATGATGTCTACCTTTCACATTCAAACCACAGGGGCCCCCTGTTTCTTCAAAGCTTTGTCTCATCTATGTATATGTTTTCATAGTATGTAAGGAGGTAGAATATATAGGACTACACCATATAATAAATATATACGATATAATATATTTATATGAGAGATGCAGCATGGAGCAAAGATCACTGCTGAGCTGGAAGTAAGTGAAAGCTAATTGAAACCTCCCCATTTTCATCAAGGCCACCTCCCCACAATATGCTTTGGAAACACTCACTATGGGTGAAGGTGCAGAGGGTAAGAATAGGATTCCCTCTAGTCGAACATCACATAAACATGCCCTTTAAAAAAAAATAAAAAATGTAAAAAAATACCCAGAAGTTCATCTGTCTTTCTTTTTTTTTTTTCAAAGGTACTTCCTAATTTGCGTCAACTATTTCTTTTATGGAGAGACGGTTGCGGATTACTTTGGGGCTCTGGTGCAGAGAGAGGAGCCTCTGCAGTTCCTGGCTCGCTATCACCGCTTCATTTCCTTCGCTTTGTATCTGGCAGGTGCGTCTTGCCTCAGGGACAACTGTTCTTGGAGAAAAAAAAAAACTAAACTAAAAAACGCACATACCTGCTCTTTGTCCCCTATGCTTCCATTCACAATTTCCTTGCAAGAGGATCAGGTTTCAGCCCATGTGTAAACAGAGCCAAGCTGAGTAAGAGGCAACATTACTGCATAGGCAAAGGAATAAAATCAAAGCCTTTAGGAAAACTTGTGTAAAATTTACGAGCTTATAAACTGAATGAGATCATGTCTATATTATGTTATGATATTTAGAAGTTTTTAGTCTCAGATATGGCAACCTACAGAGTCTGAGATGTAGCTCTTTGTTTTTTGTTGCAGTTTCCCTGAGCATGGACATTACCTCCTTTTGTAGTCTACTCATGGGAGGATTCATGACAGTCTTGAATAATTTGGACTTTGGACAATATTTATGAATAGTCAAAGTTTTAAAATCACAGTAAATTCCCTCCCAGTTTCACAGGCAGCTATGAATGGCTCTCATAGATAACTGGTGATGTTGCTCCCTCTTGACAGCGTGTTAACACACATTGTAAGGTGTGCTCAGTATCAGCATGTGAGTGATACTCATCCTCCTCTGGCAGTTGTAAGGATGGACCTCTAGTTTTTAACTCACAGCATCTGTATTTTAAATTAGTGATGATAAGAAATTAAACTGTACCATGTGTCACACGTTGCTGTTTTATTAGACTTGTATGTATTTATTTCTAAGACCTGCTAATGAACAGGTGATTTATTTATTTGTGTTTTTTTCATATTTATCATTTTACTACGTTATCAAACTCACAACCAGAGAAGGCATCCCGAGCCCAACTGAATACATTTAATATCATTAAGATGGCACCCACTTGTTTGTATAAGCCCTTATACAGTAGATATTGTAGTGTAGTCATAGAGCTAAAGTTTTTTAACAACCATTTGGAGGGATGAATTCACCGTCTGAATATAAATCTCAGAACATCTCCTGAGAAACCTTCTCATAAAGCATAATCATATTTTTTCTGTATAAAAAATTCCAGTCTCTTTGCTGTGTACAGTGACTGAAACTGTAAACACGACTCATGTTTTAAGTTAGATGAAAGTGTTAGAAGTCCATTTTGAATGAAAGGATAAGAATTTGCGTCATTGAACTCTTACACTTTCATACATCCTTAAACAGGAGTGTGTGAATGTGTGTGCTCTGTAATCAAATTAGTCACAGATATAACTATATATACATCTATAAAGCAATAATGAAAAGAGACTAGTTCTCTTGATATTCTGATCTATTTAGCATTATTTCTATTTGTTAGTGATGCTGACTTTTCATCAGACTTTTTCTCTAACATTTCAGTGTTTTGCATAGTTTCAGATTTTTTTATTGCTTTTAGGTAGTTTAAAAATCTCTGTCATGGTACTCCCACCAACTCAGATAATCTGTCATAGGTCAGTACACCTTTTGAGACCAAACTGACCGCATGTTGTTTACTCTTTCACAGGTTTCTGCATGTTTGTGCTGAGTTTAGTGAAGAAACATTACCGCCTGCAGTTTTACATGGTGTGTATCAGCCAAGTAACCATCTATTTTAATCCTGTTGTCCATCCTCCTTTTACTGTCAACATCCCACTGAGAATATTATTTTAACCCCATTTACTTTCTGGCATTTCATTTTCTTTTTTTTCTACATTCTTTCTTCACATTTGGATACATGGGCTGAACCCAAGCCAGACTCGGTTGTCACCAGGGTCTTAAAGCAATGCTTTAAGATGTATTTATGTTGCAAAACATTTCACATAGACCTTTGTGGAATCTCTTAATTTCTTCATTTATTTCAGAATTTAACAATTACTCCTAAAATGCTTAAATACATTTCTTCATCATTGATGTTCTGGTTTTCTTATGATTTTGATATTATTTATATGTATAGATGACGTCACTTTGCAGCATGGCTTCATTCACACGTCTGTCTGTCTGTTTGACTTGCTGGCCTCTGAACAGGCACAGTAACATTCTTGTGCCGTGACTCTGTGGCATTTGTGTCTTTGTTTGCCATTCCAGTTTGCTTGGACCCATGTGACCCTGTTGATTGTGGTAACTCAGTCCCACCTTGTTATTCAGAACCTGTTTGAAGGGATGATCTGGTAAGCAGGATACAGTGAGATCAAGAGAATCTCTGTTGAGAATCTCTGTTGTCTGTTGTTTTATGTCACACCAAAAATGTTTGTTTACTATTGTGATCTTATATATATATATAAAAGACAATACATAAAAAATGTGTAATGCCATATTTAAGAACATTTCAAGGGGGAAAAAAACATTATGATTTTCTTTTAGACTTTTATAACTTCATACATTAAATGTTAAAGTAGATGACATTGTGTTAGTGTAATGTCTACTATACCCCCTTACAAAAGCTGAATTTCTGTTTTTATTCTAGGTTCATAGTTCCTATCTCTATTGTAATCTGCAATGACATTATGGCTTACCTGTTTGGGTTCTTCTTTGGGAGAACTCCACTTATCAAGGTCAGTCAACATTGCTCTTCTTTTAAGGGTTGTTCATTTTCATGCTCTGTGATGGTAGGTGGGTTTCATAAGGAGCAGACAATTGATACTAACTTTTAAGCTAAAATAATAATCATATTATATTTTAATGACTCTCACTTGTAATTTACCTTTATTTTGTTGTATTTGAAGTAACCTTTATTTAATTATTTATACCTCCACCATGCTTGTGCTTTTTCCCTTTTTTCCTCTGTAACGTGTACATTTCCCCACATCGATAAAATATTCTATTCTATTCTAAATCCGTAAAGAGTAAATAAGTATGTAAGTGTCTGTTAGTTGAGTTAGGAGAGAAGTTATTTTTAAGAAAATAGTCCTCAAAAGATTCTTGAAGATGGAAAAATTGTGTTCTTGCCTGAAACCACACAGGGATAAAGTTAGTCTTGAGGATTAACATAGCTGCTGTGATCTATAAATTTAATTTGGAGGTAAATTTAGGGAGATTAAACATTAAACAAATATATCATACGAAAAGAACAAAAATATACCTTAAAAAACAGACTGCTCATAAATATGTTGGTTCTGTTGAAATATGTGTAAAAGTAAAACTCAGTAAAAACTCAGACTGTTTTTTATGGTCTGTTTTAGAATGATTTAATTTCCCAAGACCCATTGAACAATTGAGAGAGATACATCTCAATTTTCCAGTGCAGTGACACTTTGCTGTGTGCCTGGTGTTTTAGGAAGTCTGTCATGACCCTCCAAGATTATTTTTCTACCAGTTATACTGCCCTCTGTTGAAGCTTGATTTCATGTGGTTGGTCAGAATATATTGTTCTACAAATACTGTATAAACCAAAAACTGTTTTTTGCAGTATGTTCAAATATAGACCTTTACCCAGTGGATGGTAGTTTCTTGAAATACTGCTGCATTGCGGATAGATCCAAAGAAGACAAATCTACACAGTTCTACCTCTACATTTGTAAAAATCTTAGCCAGGAAGGGCATTCAATGAAAAATTAAATGTAGTTACAAATAGAATGATATCCCTGCAATATCTGCAGCCTCTGTGTTCTATCTATCTAATCTACACAGCATGACAGGTGATGATACATTTGTAACCTTCTTAGCCTTGATCTAAAACACAACAACATATAACAAATGTAACAAATTTAATTTCACACCATACGTTTATTGAAAATGGATGGTTGGAAGTGGATTCAGCTTTGCTCATACAGTGAGGTCTGAGTATAGACAGTTTAGCAGCATTGTGGCCTTACACAATGGTGCAAAAACCAAATACATTGTTGAAATTTTATTGTATCTGTGTAATTGAATCAAAACACCATGTCAATAAGTGTCAGCGGCCCAAAAAAATATATCAATCACCAGAGACATTATTAGATAAATGACAGGTTCATGACTGGCAAAAGGTAACCTTAACTTTTTTTTAATTTTATGTAAATATTTTTATCTATTTTGAATTCCAGGAGTATGTTTGTTGGATTTGATATGCCACACAGGAGCTATGGAGTAACAATATATCTATTAAATTACAGATGGATTTATTAAATTAATTAATCAAAAAACAAGTTGATGTGGATAAACATCTGTTTTTCATTTTCTTCTCTGATGCCTGCAGCTCTCTCCCAAGAAGACATGGGAAGGCTTTATTGGGGGTTTCTTCCTCACTGTGGTGTTTGGCTTTATCGTGAGTACACTAAACTGTATTGCATGTTCTGTCAGCAGGGAAGCATTTTGATCCCTTAGGTATTAATATGAATGAGGCAAAAAGAAAACACAAACGTGTTGATTTGTCACCATTGCTCTGCCCGCACAGTGGGCATGTTGGCAGTCAGGACAGTTTTCATAACAGTCAAAGGGTTTGTAGTTATTATGTTGTGTTAGATTGCTTTAATTACAGTATATTAAATGCCAGCTGGAGCAAAAAATATAAAAAATGACCCCAGTTAGGATCAGTTAAGTGAAGCTGAAGTATATAAACTACTAAAATTTTTTACAAAAACTTATTTTTTGTGGTTTCTGTTTTCCTCAGCTGGCCTACCTCCTGTCTCAGTTCCAGTACTTTGTGTGTCCTGTGGGGTACAACAGTGAGACCAACGGGTTTACTGTAGAGTGTGAACCCTCGGATATCTTTGTGATGCAGGAGTACACTCTACCTTCTGTGCTGCAGAACACACTGAGATGGGTACGATGTCGCTCCCATCATTTATAACCACGCTTTACCACCACTTTTTACGCCTAGAGTCAGCACTTTGGCAGTCTAAATAGAAATAACAGTTTGCAGCATTAGAACCTCCAAACATTTTTTTTGTCATATTGATTATTAGTACTCACTAGATCTGTAAGAACTAGTTTCCCAAGTCAGGTTTTCATTAACTGGCAAAGCAAATCTGAGTTCAACTAAGATAAACTCATTTGAGTAGGATTAGCAGAAGGCAGCGGTATGGCAGCGTTTGAAGTGAATAAAAACAAACTTTGAGAACTGTGAGAACTAGCAAGATATTTTTTCTTCAGAGTTGACTTTGATCCTTGGGTAATACAACGGGATTGTAACATAATTTCCAAGAGTTGCTTACAATCCCTTAAATGTGAGTTTATCATAGAAACTCCCATTTACCTTAGTGGAAGATTTATTTTATTCTGTGCATACTGTGTCCATTTTCTTTTTTTATCTTCTGTGTAAATTGGAAAACAATAAAATATAACTATGCCAACTCATCTGTGTTCAGCAGAGGTTTTAGTTCAAATGTTTTGTTTTTTGTATAAAGATATGTTTAAATAGTTGTCTTATCTTCTCCTCTTTGTCTTTTAGAAAACAATGAACCTATACCCCTTCCAGATCCACAGCATCTTCCTGTCCTCCTTTGCATCTCTCATCGGACCATTTGGTGGCTTTTTTGCTAGTGGCTTTAAGCGAGCCTTTAAAATTAAGGTAAAAAGTAGAATGTTAATTTGTCTGTTGCCCCTTACCCCTTACTAATTTTACTGTTCAGATGTTGCTTTTATAGCGCAAAAACAGAGCAGATCCCCCTGACAGCATAAGTTGTGTGCTGATAAGAACACATTAGTCTACATCTGTCGAGACAGATGCAGATTCACTTAGCTCCAGTGAAATGTGGGGGTTCAAAATGGCACTATGCTCAGCTTTGTTTGGGCTGCCCTGTCAAACCAAACTATTCTGTAAACTCTGTTTTCAAAAGTTCATTCATTTAACTACTGGCTCAGTTGTTCGAGAAACAACTCTGTCTACATAATCATTCAAGTCTTTTTAACATCCACCTCAGTAAAACAGCTCCATCTAGTGGCTGAATATTGGAAATTTATTTTTAAATCCCTTGTCCATAGCTACACTCTGCTCTGAGGCAGTTTTTTGTTTTCTCACAAGCTGTTCCATCCTCTTCCTCAGGACTTTGCTAGTACCATCCCTGGCCATGGAGGCATCATGGATCGCTTTGATTGTCAGTACCTGATGGCCACATTTACACACGTCTACATTGCCAGCTTTGTCAGGTAGGAAAAAGAACGGAGGGTCTTACAATAGTGAAATTTAAAAAAACTGTGGTCATATTGGTTTTCATAAAGCCACTAATAGCTGTGAAATGAATGCACAACTTTTTCTTTTTTTTTTTTTTTTTTTGCAGAGGCCCAAACCCCAGCAAGGTATTGCAGCAGCTGTTGATGCTTCAGCCTGAGCAGCAGCTCAGCATCTTCCACACGCTGCACTCCCACTTGAGAGAGAGGGGCATGCTTCCCCAGGCCAAGTGAGAGCCCGCCAACTTCACATGATGATGACTGGGCAGCATGAGGTCGCAAACGTGTGCAAAAACACATGCGGTCTTGTGTGTGTGACCACCAGGCCTCTGTCAGGGAGTCTATCATCATTCTGTCAGTAATCAACTTCTGAAAAAACAGCTCCTTATCACAACTTTAAACCTGAAGATGATTCTTTAGACTAAAGCGACTAGACAGTTTAAAAAAAAGAGAGAAGAAAAAAAAGGTTGTTCACCCTGGACTGTCATCAGCTTCAACATGTTTCAACAGGCAGTCACCAACCTAAACAAGCATATAGACTGAGGATAAAACTGAACTAAAGCAACTTTAAAGCACATGGCTTTGCCATCAGAGTTTGGATGCACAGTTTTGCTGTGGAGGCCTGACTTTGATTTGAGAAGGAGAGAGAGAGAAAGAAAAATGTAAGAAGCTTCGGTATGTACTGGGCCTAGGCTGTTGGCCACATGGACCTGAGGTATGAACAACGGAACCCTTTTGCTACTGGTCTTTCTGGGTTTGATGAAATCATAATGCAACAACTGTTTTATAGATTTCTAATTTAATTGAACTAATTCCACAGAATTCTAAACGTGTAGCATGTTTGCTAGTGCTGCTTTAGGCTAATGCTGTTTTCACCTCCATCTCTTCATCATGAACATTCAGCTTTCAGATTTCCGACAAAACCAACTCGCATAATATTTTTGTCGATACAGATTGACTGTAGGCATATTGATGCAGAAAGTATAGCTTCATCTGCACATCGAAAACTTGAAGTAATGTACATAACTATACTGAAAATATTTAACTGAACAAATGCATAATATATAAATACTTATTCTCTAAGAACTGCTGCGGGGAAAGAAAAACACTTATTGCTCGAAAATATGCAAATTTGTATCTTTTAGCATGAACAAACTAGATTTTTAAGAAGTAGCCATGTAGATTTGACCTATTAAGAGAGTGCGGTGGGTAAGTCTTTAATTGGAGAAGTGGAACTTAGAATTATGAGGTTTGGGAAATGTAATGCTTTGGTTTTTTTGTCTTAATATGCAACAACTCTCATGCTAGTTTCTTAGTATAGAGGGGATTACCTTGTCCTGGCATAAAAACAGAAGGTACGGAATAGCTGCCTTGAGTCTCATTAAAGCTATTGAATCTTCTTACCAGCACCTGTAAAGCTCCTACTATGGCAGTCCGCAACTAAATCTACTGGTCGGCTCATGTGGATACCGCACAATGCTGTGCATTTGAAAGTAAATAATCGTAATATGCTGTTTCTGGCTTGCTTATCTATGTCTTTTTGTTGTTTTTTGTCTTTAGAGTGAACTATTGCAGAATAATTTATAGAAACTTTTATGACAGCTTATAAGCATATTTAAAAAATGCATTTTCTTACCATGTGTCCCTAAAAATTACCGCTCTCAGAAGACAATTGCTCAATGGTTATGCAAGTATTCCACTGTGCTATGGTTTTTTATAAGCTTATATATCTCAGATAACCTTATTCCATTTGACAATATGTTACAATTACAAAATTGATCTTTATTTGATTAAATTAATCAAGAAATTACATTTGATCAGTTGATAGAAACGGCACAAATTCCAATTTGCCCTCAATGATTTTGTTTTATGAGTTCCTTACCCCCTATTTTGTGAGTGAATTCATTTGCCAAAAATTGGGGACAAAAAAGAAAAATTAAATTTATTACTGGTTGTTGTCAACTTATATTGCTATAATGTTTTCTGTAAATGTATTGGAAAATGGGACATCCCACTTTGCCTCTCATCTTTAGTTTTCTTCCATTTACAGCAACCCGTTCAAAGGTACTGCTTGAACAGGTTTCCGAACAAATACCCATTTCTGGATTTGTGAAATGCAAATTTTTTTGTTTATTTTTTCTTAATTAGCTGATTACATCAAATGATGTATGTGTTTACATGGGAGCTTTACAGGTTTAACTTCACGTTCGGCTGGTGAAAAGACAGTAGCTTTCAGCTTATCCTGAAAATCTGGAATCATTTCCTAAGTGAATGGCAGTGGCCATTTAGTTAGTTGCACTATAGGGAAGAAGGTGGTCTTGGGGGTTCTAATACACCATAACGCTGTTATAATGTTTTGAATGTAGTATAATTTAAGATGTCAGTATTGACATCATGTTTCGATCTTTGCAGTACGCCCGTACAGTATGAGCTCTACTGTACTAAGGCGCATCTACAACTATATAAAGCACTAGGACAGGTGGTTTAGCAATATTAGTATCATATGCAAGATTAAGTTTGACTCCAAAAGATGTGGATTTAGTTATTTTGTTTCTACAGGAACTGTGTGGCATTTCTAATGAATCGCACTGAGTTGTGTGATGATTGAAATTATAAGCATGTTACGGCTTCCTAGATGAAATTCTCTGATTAAATCTAGAAAGAAACATTTACCAAAGTACTGTCTGAATGATGCTGATCTCCTTCTGAAAAGCTCAGGGGAGCTGGGGCCAACGATGTAGCACCATATTTTGTCCCCACATCTGATAAACTCAAAAGCAGGGATCAGAGCTTGTGACCGAGTATGTAAAACTCGTGTCAATTTAGTGGTGTTCTTAGCCATCAGCGGTTGATCTGAGATTTAATATATTTGTCCATGTTTTGTTTTTTTGTTTGTTTGTGTTCATGTTTTCTACAAATAATTTATTTTCACCCCCTTGACTGGAGATGCGGGGTAGCTGTTTGGGGACTAGCTGAATTGTACTATTTAACCCAATTACTGATGTGTTTTACACATGCAGTCTGGCATAATTTTGAACAGAGTTTTGATTTGAGACGGTGTAGTAACCTGACCAAAAGTAGATAGTCAAAAACCACAAAAAGGTATTTTAGACCAGATTTATGAGGAGTCTGGAGGATGCTATCAGAATCCTTGATATAACTGATGAAACGGATAATTTAGAAATATATTTACACTGATAAGATTATTTCATATCTTCTCTATAAACAGTCTATATATATATATATATATATAGGTGAAGATGCACAGGGTAAGAATAGGCTTCCCTCTAGTCGAACATCACATAAACCTGCTCTTTAAAAAAAAAACTCTGAAGATGTATATGTATATATAATGTATGTTGTTAAATCTCATAATTAAGTGATTTTTTCTGTTTGACAAATGGTTACATTATTCATTCTTTAGTTTTAACTTAAATAATTCAAGATTATATTACTCTTTCCTCCAAGTATCAATCACTTGCTCTTGATGCCAAAAATATCAATACATTTTTATGCTTTCCAGATTGGGATAACATTTGTTGATTGGAAACATGGAAAGTTATCTAACTACTGTCAGTGACTGTATAATTCCACTGACACACTCCAGATCTTTACAATTCTACCTACTACTATACTCTAAGCTATTGTTAGAGGTCACTTATATGTGTTTTTTCACGGCGAAATATGTAAGGGGAAAGCTAAGGTGTTAGAGGCTCAAATTAATGATGTGCAACTCACTTTCAGTGGCTGTCTTGATCCTTTTGTGAATATTCTGTTTCATTCACTTTCAACGGAATTCTTTTCTTATGAGAACCTTTTGGCTAGAATAAGATTTAAGTGACACTGAAGATCGGAAATTAGGGTAATAAAAAGTAATTGAATTAAAAAAATTGTGTTGTACTGTGGTGAATAAAGTTGTTTTTTTTCTTTAAATGTCTTCAGTTTAGTTATGTTTCATGCCTTTTTTTTAAAGATCCACTCCAGATTCAGGTTTATTCACACACAAAGGTTTTTAACATTTAAAAAAATTCAGACACTGACACTTTTGGTAGTCCACTAAGATACAGTTCTATGAGCACACATACAAGTTCAGGTAATGAAAGAAAATCAGTCATTTACACAGAGTATTCCCTTTTTTTCAAAATAATGATTACGAATGCCGATGAAAATTCAAATCAAGTAGAACACTGCCCTAAACTAAACAGAGAAAACCAAAATAAAAAATAGATATTCTATTCCAGTTAGGGTTATCTTTTAATCCTTATCTTGAAAATCTAAAATAATAATAATAAAATGCTTTCCTAACCTTCCACCATCCCCTGTCAAGTTTCAATTAAAGTGCATCTCAGATTTTACTCCCTTTGAGTCAGTGTTGAAACAAGAGAAATAGGTAAATTGCAGCACATCAGGATGACAGTGCCCTCAATGCTGTGGGGATGCTTCACATAAAAAGAACTTCTTTGGGAGAAACATGCTATATTCTATGAAAAATCCACCCAGTGGACAGAATCTGTTCTGGGGTTTCCAATACATGTGACATCTGATTAATGAACAGTACAAGAAAACATAGCAACTATTTTTTTTCTTTTAAAAGACACTCATGCTTTTGGTTTGATAGCAGCAACCGCTTAAAAAAAAAAGAGATAGGCCAAAACAGGGATGAACATGTGTGAGTCACAAAAATGAATGAATGTCAGAAATTAGGAAATCTCCTAAAAATGTACATACTCTTGATACAGAAAATGTAGATTTATTCAGGTTTACAAGCAATGGCGTATCAGCTGTAAAACGTGCTTTACAGGAGAGAAAATGGAAGGGTACAGAGACTTGTCCTGAAAATGACAGGGAAGCATTTAACATTCACCTTAGATACTAAACCTACTCATACCCTCCGAACCTGAGCATTTCCGTGTCAGTAAACATTTCAGATTCAAACACTTGATTTAATATTGGATTGATTTATTGAGTCCTTCCTTCTTACTTGTTAGCTGTTTGACCTTTGGAATTTAAACACACATCATTCTTGTGGGTGTTACACATACAGTGCATCCCACACTAGTGCATTTTATGATTTTCTGGCCATCACCTGTTCAGGGTTTAAAGTGCTAAAGCATTTTTTCCAAGCAGATGCAACTTCCAACATTTTTATCGGCATTGAACAGAGAAAACAAATTCCCCCTCTGCACACATTTAGGACAAAATACTTGATGTCTACTTACCTGTGTATGAGCACGCTAAGAAAACCCACCCTTAATAACTACAGAATTTATCATGGTCTTGGATGGATTGCACTGTTCGAAAACAAAACAGATTTGATTTAACATGATGCCTCACATCTCAATAAAAGCTTGTTCAAACTGATCAGACTATAAATCTGGTCATTGAGCCACCATCAGATACAGCTAATGGCTATGTTTGTCACCGTGACGATTGTTCAGATTGTTTTACCTGGACAACGTCTGTATTTATCCTTCAATATGAATTATTTATTTAATCTAAACTTGGCCAATTCTCTATCAAGATTTCAACAAGTGTAATGGATGAATATTAGGTTCTTAATTGCAGCCCCCACGAGGCTCCCGATGAAAGGTCAAATCTACGCAGCGGCTCTTGGAATAGCCATGCCTATAGGTTTCAATTCCCCACTCCTCCATCAGGTGACTTCACTTCAGCTAGGTAACAAGAGCGTTAAATGGTGCCCTCATTTCATCCACTTCCTCCTCCACAACGGTTCTGAGATCAGGCTGGTCTGGACAGAAAAGTAGCCGTAGCAGCGCCAATCCGATACGCACTAAGATCCTCAGCACGAGAAAAGCAAAAGGCACCGTAATCTCCATGAGGTGGAATATGGATGCACTAAATTGACTCAAACAGCATGTTAGGAAAAATGTCCCCAAAGCAACGCAGGGGTACAGAGCAAGTTTAGCAAGCATGAAGACATGCTCGCGTCCACCGTACCAAACATACGGGTGAAGAGTCTCCCGCTCACTGTGAAGTGCAACCACCCAAATGGCGAGCTGAAATATGCCGGCAAAGAAAATGATCACACAGCTAATCTGAATGGCCTCCAGCTCGTTGCGAGAGTTGCGAGGGAACTCTTGAGTTAGCTGATAGGCTAAAGGTAAACCTCCGACAAATGCCAAAGAGAAGGTGTTCAGCAAACCCATGAAGCGTGTTGCCTTGGTGACATGGAGAAAAAGTGAATGGTGGACAAACCAAAGGAGACCCACGGTGGCAAATGAACCAAAGTAGGCAAGGTATTCTGGGCCGTAGTCCTGCAGAGCCGCTATCAGGCTGCCGCCATACTGCCTCTGCACAACCGTTGGGTCGGGAACATTGTCCTCACTAACAGGAGAGAAACAAAGCTGTAATAATATACTTGCATTTCCACTAAACTAATCTGAATTTCAATGAGATGCCAGGCTGCAACCAGCTATGGAAATAAGGTGTTCAAGACAAACCATATGTCCAGGATAAGAAGTGTTGCAACTATGGCATAGACCCCATCACTGAAAGCCTCCACTCTCTCTTTGCTGAGGGGCTGATTTGGCAGGTAAGTGTAAAACATCATGGAGTCTGGAGTCTCCTCCACCTGACCTGAAACACACGGACGCAATGTGGTTGTTAACTGGGAGGGACAGCGTTTGGTCAGAGAGAGGCAACAGCTCATGTGCTTACCCACTGCTTTGCTGCGACACCACTTTAACCCCTGGGAGACATATGGCAGGAAGATGACGATTGCCAGCAACACATAAGACTGTAGAACATTTTCATTAGCCACAAATTCAAAAACCGGTTTACATGTATACTTACACCTACAGGAAAAAAATACCTATAAAGAACAAGATATCAGAAAAAATGTACAAACTGGATTAATTTTTCAAAAACAACTTTCTGTAATGGTTAAATTAAATCTGTTACCTTTACAAGGGGTTGGTTCATGGAAATGAATACATTGTAATTGTCCCTTCAACTGATACTCTTACTTTATAAGAGGATCAAATAATAGTGGGGTTATTTGATAACCCTATTATTATCAAATAACCCTCCCTCAAGATTAAAATGTTCCATGGACCACCATCAAATAACTGCAGAGAAAAGAGAATGCCACTGACCAGCTGGAAGAAGATGAATGAGAAGATGCTGGCCAAAAAGCACATGATAGGAACCCTCATGATGACTTTTAGGATGTGTTGTTTATAGAAAGTCTGGTTCTCTGAGATCTGAATCTGTTCACTCAGCAGGAAGGGGCGGCTGAATGCGTATAACACAACCACTGACTAGAGAAAACACACATAAAGTGTGTTAAAGCTGAGAAGATGTATCTGACACTAGATGTGAATGATTGGCACACATTTGAATAACAAAATACTTCAGCTGCCTCACCTGGATGACTCCGATCACCATCACACAACCACAGAAAAGAAGAATCCCAAGGATGTGCTCTGGGAAAGTGGCCATTAAAGAAAACTGCATGGAAAATGCAGAGTGAACTATTAGCATGTGATTGTGACAGATGTGCTGATCTACAACCGCGACTGAAACTCACTGTGTATGGCAGAAAGGTTATCAACATCATGCAGGCCTGAAACGCAACCGAGAGTTAAAGTCAAGGAAATGTGAAGACCACAGAAGACACATGTCAATCAAAACAAGATTAACGTAACTGCTGATACACAAAAACATAGCGTCAAAGTAAAACTGAAAATAAAGCTCAACACAGTAACTGCACTCACAAGGTTTAGCAGTGCAAGGCAATCATCAATGTGCACAATGACTTGAAATAACCTGTGGAAATGAAAGTGAAAGATTGAATAACAGAGAAAAATTCCACCAGTACAACAGACTGTTAGAATAACTACCTGATGTGAGCCCCCCATGCAACAGAAACAATGAGGAAGGTCATCAAGTAAACAGCTATCTTTGTTGTCAGCAAAATCTGAACACTCTCCTTCAACTCCTGCAACAAGATGCTTGTTTTCAAACTCAAAGCTTCATTGTGTGTAAAATGTAAATGAAAACTGACATACATACTTCAACCGGATCACAATATCTCCCATCAAATCATGAAGCCCTACCTCATTGTCCTTAACTTTAGTGTGAGCGACAGGCAAAATCTGTGGATGAAGGAGACTGTATGAGGGAAAATATCAGTTTTAACACTACATCACAAAAAACTGGCGTCTGTGTTGTGTGTGTTGTACAGGTAAGGATTTGGGGTAATGATTATTTCAAAGGTTATTGTTTTGAGTGTTTACTTTGTAATCTCATCCACCATCTACAAGTAGCTGTATTGATCCTTCATTGCCATCCTTTTACTGCAGTTCAAAGCCTAAACCACCTGTTTTTGCTAAACGACGCCCTGTAGAATATGTAACATTACAGTTTCTACGTGTTTCTGGGGGACTTACCATAACTGTAGCAATGATGGAGATGAGAGCATCACTATAGGCCAGCAGTCTATGGGAGGACTGGGTGTTGCTTTGGCCTTCTCTTTCGGACGGAGTAACACTCTCGAAGTACGAGGAGGAGGCTGCATGGCTTCTGGCGCATTTTTTTTCCATCTCCTCTTCGACGTGGTGCTCTATGATGTCGCTATCGTCGTTTTTCCCCATCTTGGAGGAGCTACGGGGCCGCAGGGTACCGTTGTGTTTGCAAACAGCTGAGTGAGAGCAGAATGGGGGCGGAGAAACCGGGAGTAGCTGCTGTGCTGTTTCCTGTTCCCCCGGAAGATAGTTTATTTGTAGCTACAGAAAACTACCTGTTTGAATCTGATGCCATTGCCAACATTAAATCGAAGTTAGTTTTTTATGGTTTATTTATTCACCATAGTTATTTTTTATCCCTTCGCCTCGGTTTGAATGTCTTTTTATCGGTTTCCCAGGTAATTAAACATAACCGTAGTTACTTAATTAAACGCAACCATCTCGTGGGTACTTAACAATGCAAATAACAGGGGGGTAATAACTTTGCTTGACTTCGTTTTATATAAATGTTGTTGATTTACATCATTTATAGATTTTTTTCCGGTGTGGTGTAGGTGACCATCGACATACATAGACGTACATACATAGATAATCGTACATCAACGTCGCCACCATCTTCGATGGGGCAATAGGCCATAGGCTAGCTATTCTTTCATGTCATCCCGTTCCAGTATTATGGGTAATAAAATCTGTTTATATTGTCTTAAAGTTTATCATACCAGCAAGCTTACATTCAGTTTCCACACGCAGAAATCCAGCAGTATTTTAACAATTCAAGCGTGAAGTTTGCACTAACTTTCCGTCCGCCATATGCAAATGATGTGAACTGTTCACATCCCGGATATAGTTCTGACCAATCAGCGCATGGCGATTACTACGCCACGACGTCAGTGAGAAGGCTGGCATGTAAACAAAGATGGCTGCGCCCTGTAAGCAGCAGCGTGGATCGCATGATAAAGACGAAAATCCTGTTTGCTGCATGCACATATTAGATAATTGTATCGAAAATACCTGCGTTATAACTCGAGCAAGATGGGACACCTTCAGAAAGATCGCAAAAGAGTGGATATCGCTGAAAGGGAGAGAGTGCAATGCCGTGTTGTCGATCGTACACACGTTGGATAAGGAATACAATGAACTGGAAAAGCTGCCCTACTATCATCCCTCCTGTTACAAACGGTTTACAGACAATCGGCAAATGTTCTACGCCAAGAAAAGACAGCAACAAACACAAGAATCAGCTAGTAGCGGTGAGTACATTCATATTATTATTGAGATCTTGTGTAGCCTTCATAAAGCCGAACATATTACTTTTAGGTCATCAATTAAATTCAATTATCAACACAAGTCAGCTTAGCTACAGCAAACAGAGACAAATTACAAAATGAAATGAAATAAAGATATACAATTAGGGATTTGAAGGCCGATTTGAATATAATAGATTATATCAGATTAAATGAATCAATAATTCATGCATTTTTTGTGCCATCCTCATCATAATGATCATGGACCAGATTATTTTCTGATTGGCCTAAAAAGGCTGTAGGCATGACAAGTATATGTTGTTAGATTTTTTAACCATTGTCAAAATCATTAGCCTAATGACACAAAAATATAAAGAGAAAAAGTGTAGCAAACACTACATAGGCCCTACAGTGAATGTTGTTGTTTTGATCTTACTATGAAGACGTGCATGGATCAGAATGGCAGTTTGTTCTTGTTCGATAGTCTAGTACATCTTTGGTTAGTGAATGATTTAACCTATGAAAATGATTTCTGAAAGCTTTTCATTATTCCATATTTATATAAATTTTTACCGGGTATTACTGTTTTATTTCCAGATAGTGCTGGTCCATCTCCTAAAAGATTGCGTTCCAAAGGTGACATACGGGTACATGGTTCGTCTGCAATTCTTCCCGAAATCTGTTTGATTTGCAAGAGGAAGAATAATTTCATCACAAAACAGGGGAAAAGAGTAAAGGACAAGTTAGCTAAAGCAGAAACTGCAAATTGTGGTAGGTTTACATCTTGTATTGTACTTGGTGTGAGTTGTGGTTATCTATTTTCAGTGTCTTAATTCATTATTTTGAAAATATAATTGGTAACACAAATGCAATATAACAGAATACCATTTAAAATGATTATAAGTATGTAGACATTAAGATTATCATTTGGCAAATGTTTTGCCATCATTCTTACCCTGGTCGAAACATAGTAATAATATTTTCTTAAATGAGTTAGAATTATCATAATAATCTCGAATACATATGGACTCTTTTCCATTATTTTGAATTCAACCTTCAATCAAATTAATTTTGTATTTTATCCTTTTACATTTTATTTCTTTTTGTGCTTATAAAAATACTAGATAGACTATGTGTAATCACTTTTCTTTTTTTATTAAACAAAGGCCTGACCAGTTTTTTTTGCACATTGTAAGGTGCTGTTTTAAGTGTACTTATTTGAATTTTTATAATTCTTTCCAGGACGACTTCGTGATGCAGCAGAACTGAAACACGACGAGTCTATTCTAATGCATATACGGGATAAAGACTGTGTTGCAGTTGAGGCCAGGTACCATCATAGCTGCTATCAGTCTTACATTCGCTTTCTTACAAAAAGTCAAGATGAAAGTTCAGTGAGATATGTATCAATGAGAAATTCAGCATTGAACCTAAATGACTCTAATGAAATCATTTGTGTGGCCAAAATGGTCCACATATTTTGCTTACTAATATGTGATATAGATCTAAGCATGCCTCTTGTTCACATAACCATATTGTGATAAAGAGTCCTGATACTGATGTTGCAGTAATGGCCTTATCACATAGTACCTCGATGCAAGCTAGTCTTTACTTCCTCACTGGGACCAAAAACAAACTAAGGATGATAGATCTCAAAAGGATTGCCAACACTTTGTCCTTAGAAGAATGCCAGTCTCTAATTGGTCTCCATGTCTTCACCGGTTGTGATTCTGTCAGCTCCTTCTATGGAAAGGGTAAGGGAAAAACATTCAAGATTGCCATCAGTGACACAGAGTTTATCAAAGCCTTTTGTGACCTCGGAAACAGCTTTGATATGGATGACAACACACTGACCACTTTAGAAAGATTTGTGTGTAAACTTTATGGACAGAATGTGGAAAGTGTGAATGAAGCCAGGTACTGTGTATTTCGAGTCAGCGGGAAGTCAACTGAGCAAAGTCTACCACCTACCTCCGATGCTCTTAAGTTGCACACAATAAGGGCTAACTATCAAGCTGCCATTCATGGTCGTGCTCTGCAGCCAGTCATATCTGCACCGTCACCAGATGGCCATGGTTGGAACATCCACGAAAAACAGCTGTCCATCAATTGGATGACCAATGATCCTGCTCCTAAAGAGGTGCTTAAACTTATTAGCTGTAAGTGCAAAACTGGACAATGTGACACTAAACGATGTTCATGTAAATCTTCCAACCTTAAATGTACAGAGTTATGTGGGTGCAAGAACTGTCAAAATGTTACTGGAGAAGAGGAGATTCTGTCTAGTGATGATAGCGAGGATGATGATTGTACAATCTAGTCTGAGGGATAGAGACATTTGGCACCAACCAATAGACTTTGTGGTCATAATTGACATTGATAATGATGCCTTATTATACCTTGTAGATTTTGTAATTTTTTTCTTAATATTAAAATTCCTATTGATTGTGAAAATTGAAGTGTTTACCTTTATTGAGATAATTGCAGTTAAAGATGCTATTGTTGGAGGCCCAAAATTTCCAAATATGTTTAAACCACACCTCCAATACGTCCGATATTTTAGGGGTTGATTATTTGTAGGACCCTCCACAGATCTACCAAGTTTGAAGTGTGTGGCTGTATTTCTTTTGGAGGAAGTTAAAGATTCTATTAGAGGCCAGAAATCTAAAAATTACATGCATTTTCCAAATAAGTTTATTTCAGAACCGCTTTTTCAAACAGGCCAATATTTAAGGGACTATCATTTGTAGGACCCTTTACAGATCTACCAAGTTTGAAGTGTGTGGCTTAATTACTTTTAGAGATAATTGAAGTTAAAGATTCTATTAGAGGCCAGAAATCCAAAAATTACATGCATTTTCCAAATAAGTTTAT